TTTTATTTTTTATTATTTAAAGTTGTATATTAACAAATTCAATTCTATTGGGATATATAGCTTTGAAATTGTACAGGATAAAAGTTGTTTTCCAATGGAAGGAACAGTGTTAGAAATTTTACTTCTAACAGCTTCACTAAATGACCAATCAAACCTTTCCTAACTTTACATCCCTTGCATATTGCCAGAAAATTGCTTTTATTTATCAAAACATCTTTATTAACATTAACAAATTCATTAGAAACATGAAGTGGCTTTCCGCGAGACATTTTTTGTTAAATTTTCCCCAATTTAATTTGGTTTCACAAGTATCCAAGATTGGAAAATTTTCCAAATTCCAAATTCATTTCCGAAATGTTCCAGTAAAATAAAAAATCTTTCTGGAAACAGGAAATTAACAACACTGACCCAAGCATAATTAAATGAATCACGATAAGTCAGTCTCACGTGATATCTCATTATGTGAAGGGTCATCATTAGTATTTAGTAATGTGTATGATTTAATAATTTTTTATTTTGTAATAAAATATCTGAAGTAAAAGAACTATCTTTATTCATTTTTTATAATTTAGAAGGAAGAGAGCATTCTCACTTGTGAACTACATTTATATTTTATTACTTCCATCAGTTATAATGCATAATCACATATCCTTTCTTTACCATTTTTTCTTGAGTAATTTTAAAAAGAGAACTTTTTTCATTTTAATAATTTGATTATTTATCATGAATAATGCATTAATATTTTACTATCTCATCATTGATTGTATCATTCAATAATTTAGAGAACATTCTTGTCTAATTGCAAACAATACATCTATATTTTTTATCTAATTTTTATATCATCACTTATATCATTGATTATATCGTGTGAAGAATACATTTGGATTCCTATTAAATTTTATTATGTTCAGAAATATATACAAAATGTACAATGTTAATTTCGCAACCTTTTAATGTTTGAGATAAAGATAAATAAATAAATATTTTAAGTCGGTCATAGGGGTCCGCGACTTATCGATGTATCATTATTTTGCCATTTCTAAACCAATTTTAATGTGTCAGTCAACACTATTAGTAATTTTACGAATAATATATTTGAGCATTAACTATATTTGTTCATAATATTATCACAGTTTCAACGAATTATAATTAAATTCGCGTTACGAATTTTAAATTTTTTTTTAAAATATTTATTTATTTATCTTTATCTCAAACATTAAAAGGTTGCGAAATTAACATTGTACATTTTGTATAT